AACAGTGCTAAATTAGAGCCTTAACTGTGAAATTTGTTTTACGACATTATAAAGTGTAAATGTGTACAATTTTCACTATTTTACACAAAGAATTTTTTTCCCCCTCTATAATCAAATTTGATCACATTTGAATGATCTGCTCTAAGCAAGCAACTTAAAATAATAGCAAAAATTATAGTGCACATCATGCAATATATTTTCAAAATACACTAGCCATATTTTAAGAAAATTTAAACTTCTCAGCACACTTTGCTCACTTTTTAACATTTATTCTACCACCAACTGAAGAGTATATGTTTAATTTACATTTTATCTACTTTATATCACATATGAAATGAAAATCATAACCAATGGGGGGAACCAATAAAATTTGTTTCACAAATCTCATAAAACCACAGTGATATATAAGATATGAGCCCCTTATTATTTAATATTTATATAAATGAGTTGCCTATCATTCTGATGTCTGACTCTGTAGTTAAGAGTACAATGTTCGCTGACGATCTAGTCTTCTGGAACTGTGCTCCAAAGAATCGACAAGAAAGCCTGAATGTTAATCTCAATGATGTCTTAGGAAGAATGGATCTTTGGTGCAAGAATAATAGCATAATTTTAAACCTAGACAAAACTCACCGCCAGTTTTTTTTACCTTAAACAGACAGCACTTTTTACCCTACCTTCTTTGTTGTGGTGAAGAAATCTCTGTTACTATAACATTAACTATTTGGGATGCAAACTTGATTTACATCTGAATTAGAATGAACATATTTCTTTATAAAGGAAAAAACTGAAAGGAGACTTCCAATTTTGAAACAGTTGGTGGGCTGTTAACGGGGGTGTAACAGAGAAACTTTAATAAATACATATACAATGTACATTCAACCATTACTTTAATTACTGTAATGAAGTTTTGGTGACTGCTTCCATCAGTACAGCTGATGTTTTGGCAAGATTACAAAACCAATCTCTTTGCCTAACAACAGGTTAGTTAAATACATCCCCATAGCTGCTATGGAAGCGTTAACCAATATTCATTAAAGTGCTGCAATTTTGATTCAAAAACTTTGCAGGCTCCCAAATAATAAATATTGGAGGAATTGCAATTTTAACAATGAAAGAAATTTAAATACACAAGTGGGTTTGAATCAAATTGGTTATTAATTAGCAAAAGATATAGATCTTGTTCAAGAAATGAATGTAATGACTGTACCCTCATGAATATGGTGATTTCTGTGTATATCTTGAACTTGACAAGAAAATTGATGAATGAGATGCCCACTGCCAAATCAGAGCCATTGTTTATGAAACTATTGAGAGAAGATATCTCACTAATCTCTGAACCCATGTTTACACTGATGGATACATGATTGAGCGAGGAACTGGAGGTGGTGCAGGAATCTATTGTAACCATTTTACATTTTATAAGGCAGTGGGAAGAGGTACAGTACAAAGTCCGTAATTCCGACTCATCGGGACTTCGGCGATTCCGGATTAGGGTTTTTTTCCGGATTATAGATCATCAATTTAAATCTGGTAAGATGGCATGTAGAAATTATACAATTAAAAATATGAAACTGTAATTTATGAAATAAAGAGCAATTATGATCTAAAGGGTATCAACATTTACAAAAAAAAAAAAAAAAAAAAAAAAAAAGGAGTTTAATGTTTATTTGTTTACCTTAGTAAACATTTCTTTCAATGTAAGTTGTTTAAGTTGTTTCGTTTTTTGTGCTAATACTTTCTCTTTAATTCTATAAACAGACATAATTTCTTGTTCAGTTACAAAGTTCCACTGTTCAAGTCCTGTAATTGCTGTGTCGAGAATACCGACTAACTTGTCAATCGAAATTTTTTCGTTTTCAATAACGTTCTCTGTTACTTCCTTCACTATCGGAAGCGCACATGGATAAACGCTTTACTGGCTTTACATGCATGTGTAAGTTTGTGGCTTTGAGGTCTGGATTATAGATCATTCCGGATAATAGACGTCCGGATTAGAGACTTTGTACTGTAATATGTCAGTTTCTGGCCTGCACACTTTACAATTCATTCTCCTAATTATAATATTGCTAAGAACTAAGCAGGGTACTTTTGTATTATCGCAACCACTTCAGCAGAAGTCGCCAAACTTTGGCAACCAAGCACATAACAGTTCTTTAGGTAATTATATCCACTGTAAATTGCAATCTGAAAATTCACCGAATCATCTTTTTTCTTCTGTAAAAAAATTGCTCAACTGCACTGAGGTGGTTGCATGAATATGTGAATATTCTAAACAATTTGAGTGCCTTATATATCAAAGCAAAACCAGGTTTTTAAATAACAACACATAAAATTTAACAGGCAAAGAAATTAGTTTTTTATTAGCAATCAGAATCTCATAGAGTGAAATGAGTTTAACAATCAGAATATAATATTAACTAATGAGCATTAATAATTAAAAGTAAAGTGAGAAATAATGAATTAAAAAGTAAACCATCTACTCAAAAGAATTAGTACACCGATGTTTACATTTTAAACGTGAGAAAGCACCTAACAATGAATATGAATAAATTAAAGGAAAAATAACAATTAACTGAGAGTTAATTAAAAGAAAAAGTGGAGATTTAAATAATGGAAAATTAGCAATGTGGTTTTGAGATTTTTGCAAAACTAATATTTATAATAGAATGACCAAGAAACAATGACAATCTTTAATCAAGAAATGACAATCCGTAATCCCTGGAACCTTCGAAAACTAATGAAACCGTAATTTATGAAATAAAGAGCAATTATGATCTAAAGAGTATCAAAATTTACAAAAAAAAAAAAAAAAAAAAAAAAAAAAAAAAAAGCTTAATATTTGTTTGTTTAAATTAGTAAACATTTCTTTCAATGTAAGTTGTTTAAGTTGCTTCGTTTTTTCTGCTAATACTTGCTCTTTAATTCTATAAACAGACATAATTTCTTGTTCAGTTACAAAGTTCTACTGTCCAAGTCCTGTAATTGCTGAGTCGAGAATATCGTCTAACTTGTCAATCGAAATGTTTTCGTTTTCAATAACCTTCTCTGTTACTTTCTTCACTATTGGAAGCGCTCGTGGGTAAACACTTTACTGGCTTTACGTGCATCAAACGCGCATGTGTAAGTTTGTGGCGTTGAGGTCCAGATTATAGATCATTCCGGATAATGGACGTCCGGATTATATGGACTTTGTACTGTACTACACATTTTGATGGTGAAGTCGAGGCTATATTTAGTGCTCTGAATAAATTGAGTGCTCGGAAAAGTAATTTCCCTCAGCCTGTTATTTTGTCCGACAGCAAAAACGCTTTGTAGGCTATCTCCAATAATAAATTTTGTACTTCTGAATGAATGAATGTACAAATGTAGGAAGTTTCTCAACACTCTGACTAACTCAACTGTCTTGCAATGGATTCTGCTCATTGTGGCACTGAGGGAAGTGAAAGACATGATTTCCTGGCAAAGAAAGGAACGATTATTCTACAAACCACTAATAACTGTATGATTTTTTATTCTGCAAAACTCCTAATTAAATTAGAATTTAAGAAAAGGTTTGCATCCTACTAATTAAATGAAGCTAAGGGAAAGGCCTGGGAGTGTCTCTCTAGTTCAAAGCCAGTTAATCCAGATTTTCCTCATCCTGTAGCCGTGGCGTTTTTTTGTCTTTTGACTGGGCACATTTGTTTGAATGCCCATCTTTTTAAGTTTGACTTAAGGACACTTTCAGACTGTACTTTTGTAACTCTGGACAGTCCATGGATAAGAAGGATATTGATGAATGCACTGCACTAATATCTTTTAATTCTATTGTTCTTAAGTAATGGGAAGCAAGATCAAGACTAACGGCTTAGTGGCCAAATGTCTGGCATTTGTATAAATAATTATATAAGATATCAGACTTTTACTGCTAGGATTATTAAATGCGATGTTATACATAAATGCTCATAAGACTGTAAAAATATTCAATGATTTATTATTTACTATAACAAAAATTGAAGTTGTGAATTCAATATAAATAACCTTTACTACAAATTGAAAATTTAAAAATAGTCATTATAACACTCAAACACTGAAAATTTAACAAAATAGTTTATTTTGAAAAATAAATTACTTTAGAGGGTGTGTTAGTAGGGACAGAAACATTTTTGGTTGTTATTATAAAATCAAACTATGAATTATTATTTTTGAATGTTTTTAAAACTGAACAAATCGCAGAAAAACAATTTGATATAACATTCCATTCTCTGTTATCTTCTTGTTAATTCTAAATCCTGGGAAAAAATATTTAATATATTTTTTTAAATAAATATAAAAGAAGTTATACAAGGACTTTTGAGACAAAAACAAGGAAGGCGAGCACTTTTTTTTTAAATCCCTAAATTGGCGTGTTTATTTAGCTTCTTTTACAGAATCAACTTATTATATACAATATATCTAATCTAAAAGCATTTTTTAAATAATGAAAATACTTTTAAGCAATTAATAATAATTAAAAATGCATTCTACATTAACTGTTTATGTAACGAATCTAAAACTTCATAATTACCACACATTACTTCTGCAACTAAAAAAATCAAAATAATTCATTTTTAAGACAAGGGAAAAATTCCACTATTTTAAAAAAAGCCATTATTATTATGAAAATACTAATTTACATATTCAGAATTACCAAATATGTTAATTTAGTCATTCAAAATTAATTTTTATCACATATATTTGATGAAAGAGGCTAATAAATTTCCCACAGCTAAAAAAGAAATTCTTTGATATTGTACTATGATGCTTAAAAGGGGGGAAAAGTGAAAACAGCACTTTAACAGCATAATGATAAATTCTGCTTAGCAATACAAAATAACTAAGCAAAAACAGAGCATGAAAAATTTTAAAACATGCACATATCAAGACAAAGCATTCATGAGAGAGGGGCTACAGAAGAACAGGGTCACTGGACGCACTACTTTACAACACTACAATTATTTGTTACATATGATGCTCACCTCTGGCTATGAGCATAATACAGAAGGCAGATACATGAAAAGAAAATACATCCATTATTAAGCTTCGACAAATCAGCTAGCATTTGCATAACATCGAAAGAGAACAAAAGAAAAATTATTCTGAGCACATAAAAATACTAAAATATACATTTAGAATCTAAGTTGGTGGTTTTTGCTTTCACTGGATACTGATGTTGAAGATTTTGTGCTCTACAAAAATATAAGCTTTTTTATGTTCATATGCTTATGCTTTAAAATTAGAAAATATCCCAAGTTAAAAAAGTTATCTGTAAAACAAAAATTAAAAAATTCAGAAATAAAATTTAAAATGCTCTTATGAAAGGTTCTTTGTTATTCAGAATTTATACGGTACATATAATTGCATTTATGATGATTATTAAAACTACTTATTCAAATACATCTGAATATTATTGACAATAAAATGTACAGACATTAAAAAAAGTTTTGCAATGATACTTTTTCCTACATTTTAATACAGGTCAATGAATATCTGTTTATACAATCTAAGATAGAAAAGATACCTAAACAACAGACTGTACATATAGGAAATATAAACAACAAAAAGTGTTAATTTCAATCCAGATATTCTTTTTAATAATTAAATCAAGGGAAAAACCCTTTTTGGTCTCAGTATAATTAGTCTCTAAATTAAACATTATGCTGCATTTGTGAAAATGCTTTACAACGAAATAACAATGCTTAGAAATGGATTATTTTACATCTCTTTTTATAGATATTCTGCATGAAATATTAATAACAGAAGATAACCTTTAGATAGAACAGGTACTATACACTAAAGTAAAACAATCTAAACATTCATGTGAACCAAAGTTCTTTTCATTTTTTACATGAAAATTGTGACTAACTAGTTACGTAAAAGCTCATATTGGATGTCTTGAATCTTTTATTAATGAAAGGTAAGGCAAATGAGCATAAAGTCTCTAACAGCAGTATCAACAGTTCCAGAAGAAAAAGAGATGGTATTAAGACCAGTTACATGTAGACATCCGCAACTGGCTTCTGATAAACTTCTAGAATCAACCATAAAAAATGGACCTATGTAGTTAGTCTAAACAAGTGGAAATGTAGCCAGATTAATAGCTAAAAGACAAGGAACATAGGCTCATGACAATCTTTGATGAGAATATTCCAACTAGCTTTCTATGAAGCACTGAAAGGAATATATGCTTTTTTTTTTTTATTATTATTTTAATTCCCCCTCTCCCAATTGCCATTGGAGAAATGAACCATTTTTCGGGCAAGTTGCCACAAAAAATAAAATACTGGTGCAATGCAAATAGAACTGGTAATGGTGCAGTGTTCTAGAACTGTGTCATCAATTTCAAATGCAGGAATGTGTATCTCCAAAGATTTTATTAAATGTATTGTCAGAAGCTAATGGAATAATTGTGCATAAAATTATGTTTCACTGCAATATTGCCAATTAAACTGGTTTAGTAACTCTAAAAAATTAGTGAATGCCTTTTGGGAGGTATTAATGCGCAAGGTATTCCCTTGAATTTTACACCTGTCCGAGCATAATTGATTACCCTTTCTGTCCAGATGTCTGATGACGCAGAGGATGTGAAACATCATTGCAAGACATTTTTTAATCTAAAAATGAGGACTTTCATTGGATGTTACATAAACTTCCTAACAAATAGATTATAAGACGTCATATACTACAGGGGTAATAATACAAAATTTTAGCTACTTTATTACTTTTGCTCTACATTTTTTGTTTGATTAATAAAGAAGTGGGAAATTTAATATTAATGGCAGATTACAAAGACAACTGTAGTTAGAACAAGCAAAGATGAAAGAAAACAGAAATGTAAAAAAAAAAAAAAAAAACCATGTGTACACCACGATTTCCTTGCACAGAATATTAAATTATACGCTTTTTTTTTTTTTTTTTTTCCATTTCGTTTAAACTTATTGGATTGAATTAAATCTAGATCGTTGATAGTGCATAAACCACAATAGAATAAATGCACTTTTTAAAATTCACTATATTTGTTTACCATAGCGAAAATCTGGTGCTAGATTCACTTAACAGCGTTACATTTCATACATATTATAACTCAGAATGCACATAAATTTATATAATTTGAAGAATTATCTAATCGTTGCCACATTTTCTATTCAAATACTATAATAAATCTAAAACGATGTATAAAAGAAATTAAGCAAACAAAACAAAAGAGAAACAGTTTTTCATAGATTATTCAGTATTTCTCATTCAATTAATTCAGTTCTCACTTCCCGACAAGGCAAAAATACATAAAAACTCAAAATATCTATATTAAAAATTACGAAGTAAATCTGAAACACTTATTTCTTTGAATAAGTTCGAGAATGGATTAAGTGTGATTTAATTTGCAATAATAAAAGAAGGCGTTATCTTTGCTATTGCAAAGCTTAGTTTATCTAGATGGCAACAAATCGCTATTTTGCCAAGTTTGAAATGTAAACAAACATGTCCGACACTGCAAAATTCATTAGGCTTAGCTGCACTTAAACAACTTTTAAATTGTTGATAAGTCCACAAATATTGCATGCAGATTTACTAAAGGCATAAAAACTTTAACCGGAAGATAAGAACAACATAATTCATTTATTTTTAAAGCAAAAAATGCACAATTTAAAAAAAAAAAAAAAAAAAAAAAAAAAAAAAACTGATATACGTATGCACAGACGCCACAAAAAATTTTCTTCAGAATTTATTTTAAATCAGTTTTATAATTTTTTTGGGGGGGGGAAAAGAGTCCTTTATTTATTCTGTCCTTACTTGTGGATGTCATGCAAAAGCATCAATAAATTGCATTGGATAGCTGTCAAAATCGATATTTTCGTTGAAATATGATACCCAAAATTTTTCACTTTTACAATACTTACTTTTTACTTCGTACAAGGAAGTAAAAAATAGTCCACAGTATAAGCTATAAATCAGTTTTCCGCCTCCCCTCTCAGTATCTCTCTTAGAGTGATCCAGCATGCAGAGTAACAACTCAGATGTAGGGTATCCCTTTCCTCATGAATGTTGCATAATTTACAAATCGGGGTTGGGATAATGTTCATTCAAAGCAGATGTTTTAAAAAGTACTCATGGAGTAACAAGACGAAGGATAGCAACAGGTTTCTATCTGGGCCACAAAGGAATGTCAAAAATTCTTTTAATCCATACTTTATGACTGCTCCTTTCAGTGTCTTTCCAAAAAACTTCCATAAAGTTCAATGTCTTTCCAAAAAGCTTCTAGGCGACAACTTTTTATTACTCTTTTCGCAGTGTAAAAAAGGGGTTTAGGTTTTCAGCTATTTGGAGAATACTGGCATCTTCTTTGCCAAAACAATATCCTTATCATTTCCATGAAGGCCACAGTGTAATCGTATCCATTGCATGACAAATTCTTTGCCCTTCTGAGCTAAATTGCTTAGAAACTGCTGGCATTTTAACACATCGACAGACATTGGTGATTCAAAAGAAGAAATAGCTCAAAGAGCAGCTTTATAATCAAAGAGTATGACAAATTTTCAAAAATGTTCAAGTTGACATTGGAGTTGCGATAAGGCTATGTATATGGCTGTGATCTCAGAGTTAAAAAGCAGTCTTGTTCCCTCCCATAGGTACATATACATGTTACACAATTATTTCTACTATTTCTAAAAATTCTATTAATTTCCTAATACCTTTTATGGGCATCCGATGTTTTAATTTTTAATGACATATGACCAAGGAAGTTGCAATAGTTATTTTTTTAACTATCTAGTGGATTAAACTAAAACAATATAATTCACATAATATATATATATACACTAATAAATACTTATTTATAACTTAACACTTTGCGGGCCTTGCATTTATCGAAGCGGCGTTATGCTGCCGCCAATTCACGCAGGTTCTACTGCTCGCCAACGGTGATATTACTCAGTTTTTTTCGAAACCTAAGTAGTTTGGTATATAATTATTATGAAAAAGCACTAAAATAACTTTTACAACTATTTTTTATTCCATTTATTCCATATATTTTAATTAGTCTAAAATGTTTTATTTAAAAAATTTAACTCCTAGGATCCATAGTTCTTTGTAGAATGATAATTCTGTAAACATTTTCCAACATGCAGAGAACGTTGCAGGAAGAACACATGCATGCAGTGAAACTTCTTTTCTTTTCGGCAGTGCAGACTTTATAGGCCCTTCGCGGGTTCTGAATTCTCCCACTATCACTAATATGTGTTATTCTATGTTTTCTCATGTCTGCAGTAAGTCTGCCTGGTGGATCAAACCTCGGCGATCTTTTATCACATTAAGCAGCTGATCTTGATTGTTGCTCCTGTTCATTCCCATTAACCCCTGCTAGTACAAGGTTTAGTAAAAATTGTTTGAATCTAATAGGATTTTCAGAATTTTTTATGTACATCTGGAACGCATTTGAATAATGCACAGTTTATGAGATATAAAACCCCTGTTTTTTTTGGTCCATTTTTTTTTTTTTTTTTTTTTTTTGTTTCGAAGTATGGAATAACATGATAGGTATTGATCGGCGTGATCACACCTTTCATAAACTTTATTATACTCTTGTATGCAAATTGGTTTAATGCACTTCTTTTTGGTTCTTTTACTCACACATTCGACCATGTCTGCTGAATGTATTGTAGAAATCATCATTATCAATTTTTTGGCCGAATTCCATTTTTGTACCATAATTTTCCCTTTCCTACGAAATGCCATTGACTTATTTTTCAATGTAGCAGATTTTAAACAATTTGGCACTTCCTCTGTTTACTCTTAATTGTGCCACAGGTGTATTGTTTTATGCTTTAGTAACTTCTCTGCAACCTTTACACTGTTGTAATAGTTGTCCATATATACATTGTGCCATAAATTTTAATAAGGCAATATTGTCGCAATTAGCGATTTTCCTTGCGTGCAATATATTTCTAAATTGCATATATAACCAAATGTCGCCTCACATACCATATGG